TCAAAATTAGATAAAGTGATCACACTATATATGGATAGAGATGGCCACTAAGTAAAAAATATCATATAAGAGGGGTGTCAAATATCAGGTGATTTTTTAGGGAGGGGTCAAAAATTTTAAGACCTGACAATTTTCATATATAAAAGTAGGGGGGGTAGGCCACTGATAAAAAAAAATTAGATGATAAATGACAGCACCCTAATAAATAGCATGCCTTTTAGAAGGAAGGTAAAATATAATCAGTTCGAATGTAGGTAGCTGAGTACCAAGCTATAGCAGGTTTTTAAATATGAGTAGCACTATATATAAAGCTTGTTGGTAATATCAGTGTGATAAGTATACTTGAGCACTTTATAGCAGCTGGGTATATGCCTAATATATAAATTAGATAGTTAATTTTGTAAATTACAAAAATCTAATAAATTAGTGTGAGGTTATTAAAGTAAAAAAAAAAAAAAGAACAAAGAAGAACCAGAACAATCACCAACTCCACCAAACTAAAACTCAGACTACCTTCCACAATATACTGCAATGCCTCAATCTTCAACTCCAAATCTCCTATTATTGTCTCCAAATTTATCACCGAACCTTAAGCCTATTTCTCTCTTCTCGCAACCTTGCTATCTATATTTCATGCTGGTAATTTAGCCATACTAGCTCAGTTGGATTATGCTTCTAGACCTAAGCTTGCAGGTTTGCAACCTGGTTTTGCAAATTCTGGATTATAGAAGTAACTAACTGGCTGTGAGCGATATATAGCATCTAGATTTAATACAGAAAAAGTTAAAAAATGAATGCTTTTTCCAAGATAGATACACTTAAAAGATGAAAGTATAGAAAAAAAAAAAAAAAGAGAAAAAGACAAAGAGAAAAGTATCTACTAAGGCCATACAATCAATTATGCAAGTTATGAAGAAAATCAATCATCCAAGCAATGTTCAAGCACAAAGAACTGTCAGCTCACTTAGACATAGAAGGCTGGCAATTGTTCTGAAGGAGTAAAGCCAATGAAGTTTAGTACACAGCCCAAAAAGTATACCTACTTTTTGATGGAAAACAAAAAGCAAAAACCAGGAAGACAAGAAAATTTAACAAGAAATTATTGCTAAAAGAAAAAGAAGAAAAAAAAAGTATTAGCCAAAAAAGTTTTTAGAGTAAAGAAACATAGAAAGGACCATATAAGGAAAAGAAGATTGGTGTATAGAATTTTGAGAAACAAAACATATGGAAAATACAAATATAAATAAAAATTAAAAACAATAAAGATAATTTTTTAGAACAAAACAAAGAAAATCACAAACAATAATAATATAATTTACAAATTTAGACAAAGGTAAACAAATTAGAAATAGAAGCTAATTTTAGAAACACTAAAATGGAAGTTCGATAGACCTTACAAATTTTAAAGAGAAAAAAGACAAAGAAAATAACCAAACACATACTAGGCCAAAAATTTTTGCCAAGTTTTGCCAAGTATTGCCAAGCTATAGCTGAAACAATTGCAAAACATGTGGGAATGCAAAACAAAACACATGTAAACAGATTGTAGTATGTTGGAAACACAAGGAACAAGCATGGGTTAAACAAAATAGAAAAGTTGTTTCAATCTTATAGCATGAATACCCACTTCAATAGATATTTAAAAGACAAAAATTCACCTTCTTGTAGCTCTAATTCCAACAACTCCAATATATATTCTTCTAATAACACTTCTAAAACCCTTTACAATCTACTACAAAATAACCACTCTACCAACTTGGCTTAATTCCCAAATCTATAACAAGGTGTGTGAACTCCAACAACTGTATAACAGTCTCAATTACACAGAGACCATTATTGTTGATCCTGGCAATACAACAATTATCCAGGACCTGGACCACATATGCACTATTTCTGCAGATCCCAATGTCACTATTACTTTTACAGATCTACACGTCCTAATTTGGAAGGAGTAAATACTGCCAATCTTTTGGAGGGGGTACGCCGGTTTTCCCACTTTTTGGCCAAAATTTCAAAAAAAAATTCCAAAATAGCAAAAATATGGTAGAAGGTCTTCAGTTGCAGGTACTTTCAAAACTTCTAAGGAGTGTGTTAAAATCCAAAACTTTTGTTGTTTCTCCTGTGTTCTTCTTCGAAGTAATGGCCTAGGGCTTTGTTGACGAAGTAGCAGCCTACTATATAACTTACTCCCTTCACCAAGATTTTTCATATAAGGGCACCTGGGTGACAACTCCCTGCCAGTTATCTTGTATAATAACGCTCCTGGCTTGCATGCCGAACGTCCTTTAGAGGAGTCCCCCAATAAAAAAAGGTTGACCTCTAGACATACTGCACTATAGAGCCATGTCTCTCCAACAAAAGTTTTGTTTTTTATTAGTTGAAATTTTGGTACGAGTGATTATTGAGGAGAGATTGAATAGATCTTTGTGTTAATTATCATTTAATAGTGTATTATTATACTAGTATATTGCAGAGATAATAAAAAATAGTCTATTTAGGGACTTTTCACTTACCCAGTATAGTATACAGAGGTTATAATGCAAACCATATTTGAATAAATAATCACCTCTGTATATAAGATAGAGATGAGGATGGTAAAGTCCGGTCCAGGTCACAGTCCTAGTTCTATAACCCGTAAGTCTTAATACATGGACTTAAGAACTAGGTTTTATAAATCTGTCCTAGAACTTGAGTGAAAAACATAACAGATAATTAATAAACATCAAATATAACTTCTAAACTTTATTAAAAATTTTATATTAATATAAAATTCTATATATTATTTATATATACATGTTTAGAATTTCTTAGTTATTAATAAGATTAGAGAATATAATAAAATCTATTATAAAATTCTAATTTAACTAAATTTCAAATCCAATTAAATTATGTTTTTAATTTACAATATATATATATATATAGTATATTGTTTTTTTAAATTATTATTGGTATTATTTTTGCAAATTACTAAGATTACTAAGTGTTAAAACTTAACTTTTTATAGTATTATAAATTTTGTTAATTAGAAATAACTTAGTTAAAAGTAGTAAAATAATTATTTTTGATTTTTATTATTAATTCAACTTTTAGCATACAATACTTTTAATATTTTTAAACAAAAATAATTTTAGATTTTAGTATATAGTATTTGTTATCATTAAAAGCTTATTTATAAACTATACGTTATTTAAATAATAATAAATAATATTTTGGCATAAAACCTTTTTTAAAATGTTATTATTTAATTAGAAATTCACATAAAAACAGAAAATTTTAATTATAAAAGTTGGGATAAGTATTTATATAGTTTTAATAGTAATATGGAATCTAATTTTCCAAATTAGTAATAGATTTTTTTTAAAGTACAAAATTTCAGCTCTTAATAAAGTACGGTTTAATTTTTGAAAATTCTACCGGACTTTTAACAAAAAAAACCAAATATTATATTTTTATATCTATATATTTTAATTTTATATTATATTTCAATTATTAATACTTTATATTATAAGAAAACTGGATTTCAATATTTTAAAATATAGTAAATTTGCTCTATTTTTATTATATAAGATGCCCTGTTCTTATATGAATTGCTAATTAAATTTATTAAAGTAATTACATGTTATACTAATTTTATCTATATTTATACGTATAAGTATTAAAAAATGATTAAATTTAACAAAATACTAATAAATTATTTTTTAATTTTATTAAGTTGTTTTTTTTTTTATTTCAAATAATAAAAACTTTGTTTATAAATCAAAAATAGTTACTATATATAACAATTGCATTATCGATTATATCTTTATAAAAAACTATCTTTGTATATTAACAACTTTGTTATTAAAATTTTTGATATTTAATCCTAATATAAACCTTAACTAAACAAGAATTATAACGATATTTTTTAGACAATACTGGGCAGTGTATCACCAAACATATTTACAAAATAAATTTTAAAGTAAATCAAAAAAAAAATCTTATATACTAAACACATGCAATTTGATTTTATACACTAATACTATAGAAAAAATAAAGCACTATATAGTTAATATATCAAGTAAAGTTGCTCAAATTAGGAATTTTGCTATAATATAGATACCAGTATATTGCTTAGTCCAGAAGCTCGGGTTACAAATATTTTTTTTGGTCATAACTTATTGGTGTTATATAATTTTTCTCCAAATTAATAATACACGTTTTTAATGGTGAATAACTTTGATCTACTGGTCAGTTTTGGGCGATTTTACCAATCAAAAGTTCATCTCATTGCGACAACCATTTTATTGATAAAATTATCTAAAATGGACCAGAAATCAAAAGCTATTTACTATTAAAGTTCATAATAAAAAAAAAATTCCTCGTCCGCAGTAATGTAGCAGCATTCCAGGCTTGGTAAATTTGTTCATTGTTATCAATAGAGCTCCGGCCCATTGATCCAATAATTAACTCCATTGAAGAAATATTTACTCAATGTACCAATAGACAATAAGCTATATAGGTTGTATAATTTGGGTATCGTCATTCAAAACGCGTCATAGTGAGATTAAAAAAAAATAATAACAGTGACAAAATAGTAAAATACTATAGCATTTAAATCAAGGTTAAAATACCTATTCATTTTTCTAGCCACTCAAAAACATCGTTGTTGATTCAAAATTATTTGCATTTTTTAATGTATCAAAAAAGATACTTGAAACAATGAGCTGCAGACCGGGAAAATGAATAGGTATTTTCAGCCTTGGTTAAATCTGTATGTTATCTCAACTAAACAATTATAAATATTTGTTTAGTTTACACTCTAATATACTTCATCAGTGCATTTTTATTGCTGATCTAAAGATTAATATTGCTTTTAGGTACCATATTAAATAAATCATAATACACATGTGAATTGGAACCAATAACATTATGTGAGTATAAAGATAACGATTAATGACCATTAAAATACCAATAAATTAATAATAAGCTCTGAAGAATTTTTTAAATCGTGCATGGTATTTCTAATCCCATGCAAGACTTTTAGATCCCGTGCAGACTATAATAAAGTTTTGTCAAAAAGATCACTAGTAAAAGTGTGTAGAATTCTAGATAGAGTTCACACTTGTACACATAGTTCAGAGTATTAAAGTAACTTATATTAATAATAGGTTGTAATATATAATTAAAAATTAATGAGCCAAATAGGCCAATGAGCAATGGAATATATCCATTGATAAATTAGTTTTACTGGACTGCCAACTCTGAGCATTACATATAATACAATATGACACTATGCCATTTAGGTCATTATAGAATTCATTCTGCTTTATCCAAAGTTGTGACTGTAACTAAATTGCATTACATTCACTATTTGTCATAACAAATATGTTCTCCCTAATATTCTCTAGGACAACTACATTAATGTATTTAAACAAATATGAATAAAGCTTCTTTATTAGTTAATAAATAATTGTCGAGAAATAATGTAAATTTGATTACAGAATTTTTACAATCCTGAAATCATATATATTAATTTAAATCGATAAATAATAAAAATAAATATATTATATATATATATTATAATTATAATAGTCAATAAATAAATTAGGTAAGCATTATTTATACGTGAATAAATTATTTCTTCATTTAACTCAAAAATTATTTTGATCAGTTCCAAAAAATTCAAGGTGTCATCTCATCATATCTTTGGAACACAGCGTGTATAATTTTTTCAGATATACCAGGATCTTCTCTTTCTGCATCCTCAAAGGCCTTTTTCAAAATATCCAGTGTGAGCTGAGCTTTTTTGGATGGCACATTTTTTCGTAACTAATATAAAAAAAAAAAAAACATAATAATGACTTATTTTCAAAAATATTCAATTAAAAAAAGCTTTGTCATTCATAATTCTGCTTACATTTTCTATGGAAGGTACAATAACCTTATCGAAAACCGCAGGACCAGTCACGGGAGAGATTTCAACATGGTTTTGGTCAGTATCATCATAATTTTCCACATTTGTCGTATTGACATATTTTATAGTGTCATAACCCGAATTCTTAGCTTTCGATACCTAATTCGATATCAGCAAGTCCCCCAAAAAAATTTTTAAACAAATAGAACAAACTTTAATTAATTTACTTGAATATAATAAATATATACCATAGTATGTTTTCCCTTGGCTGGTCCAATTGTTGCATTATCTCCAGAGCAGGTTTCATCATCCGATGACGTAGAACCTGAATTTGGAAATTCCCAATCTGTATCCTCTACATCTTTATTACTAAAAAAAAAATTAGTTCGATTGACGTTAAATATTTAAATATATTAGGATAGAAAAAAAAGTATATAGTTACCCATTTTCAGAATAATCCGATTCATCGGAATCGTGCTGATCACCACCACCATCTGCCAACCATTTTTGGTAACGTTCAATTAATTCTGTCAAATAAGAAGTCTTCTTTGCACTCCTAATAAATCTATGTTTAAGTAGCTCTTTTGGAGTTGGTCGCTACTTTTTTAATCAGGATTATAAATAGGGTATATAATAAAGCAACCTGTAATTAAATTTTATATTTATGTATTAAATTCGTTTACGTACGTTATTTGGGTCTTTATCTAAACATAAAGAGACAAATTCTTTAAATGGTTTAGAATATAGACTATCATCTAAAGAAGGTGGTGGATCTTTAGGAATAAGGAAAAGAACTTTCATTGGATGAAGATCCGCATGAGGAGGTTCGCCTGTCGCAAGTTCGATTGCGGTTATTCCCAGAGACCAGATGTCAGCCTAATATAATGAAGATATTTAATAGTATTTACAAAATCTAAGAAATTTTTGAAAAAAAAAAAATTAATATAATTTATAATTTCGACATTTACCTTAAAGTCATATCCTGATTGTTTAATGACTTCGGGTGCCATCCAAAACTATTGCATAATAATTTACAAATGAGTCACAAATAATTTTATTAAACAATAATTCCATGGTTTAAATTCTTACCGGTGTTCCAACGAAAGTATTCTTCTTTGTTATAGTTGCTGTGATCTGCCGTTAAGATTCATAAACATATACGTACAGTACGTTATCATAGAAAAAATGTCTAAGTGCGAAATAACGTCCAGAGGCGTTACAGTATTTGAATAATGGCCCGAATTAAGCTTAATTTAGGCCAAACTTCGGAGTTACACTCTTGGGCATGATTTCGCGCTTATACAGTAAATACTAACCTGTCCCGAAACACCAAAATCTGCTATCTTTACTATGTACCAAAATTAGATAAATTCCAGTAGAAAATGTGATATATGTTATGAAATGTTAATAATATTAGTCAAATGCAAAGCTATTCGTACCATCTCCAGTAGAACTTAAAAGAATGTTTGCCGCTACAAAACGATTTCAACTCAAAATCAATAAAATTCGAAGAATTATTATTTAAAATAAAAAAAATCCCTATATTGTGAGGTTTAAAATTATTCTCAACCTTTTATATCTATAAAAAAAAAAAGTTAGATGTGCAACTAATTTAAAAATTTTAAGGCAGTTTCCAATAATGAGGAAATTAAACCTCTGTGAAGTTTGTGTTCAGAGTGAAGATAGTCCAATCCTTTTAGTAATTCTCGTAAAATGATTGCTACGTATTCTTCTCTTAATGCACCAGGCTTCACCTTTATTAATAAAGTATATATGAAAGAATTACAGGTAAGTAATATCACAGAAATAAACAATTATTATGAAACTTACTAAATCTGAACATGATCCTCCAGAACAATATTCCATAATAATCCATAAATGAGTTCCTTTGAGATAAGAACCGTAATATCTTATTATGATAGAACACTTTTAATGCACTAGTTAAATAAAGAAAAAATCCATTTTACGATAATAAATAATTACCTAGTGACATACTGTGAATCCAATTGTGAAAGAATTTTTATTTCTTGTTGAATATCTTCAATTTCATCTTCAGCATGTTCAAGATCAATTATTTTGATTGCTACAGAATTATTGGTTTTCTTATCAAAACTGATTATACGATAAAATAATATTTATACAATTACAGTATAACGATAAATAAGACAATAAGATGGTTAATTAAATCAGTAGTTTTATATTTTAAATCGTTGAGATTATTGACCTCTCGTCAAATAAGAAGAATCACAGAACATAGTGATTTGAAAATTATTATGAGGCGTAATCGAGACTTACCCTTTGAATACTTCACCAAAAGATCCTTTTCCTGTTATGCATCATTATTTTCAAAGAATACTTAGAGAGTAGCTTAATATGCATGGTTGAATTTGTAGTAAATAATATTAATTTTACCTATTCTATCTTGTTTCACGTAGTATTCCTCAGGATCTGCCTGAGTTGAGGAACTCTTTCAGATCATGTAAACAAATTCATTAAATGCAGAGAAGAAATAGTGAATTCTCGATTAGAATTTCATCATTATCTAAAAGAATCAAAAAAATTTCTCTACCATCAAGTACAAATTATATCGACAGTACAGTCAGATTAAAGTTTTCCAGGAAAAAGGACAGAGGATAGATAATCGTGTTTTAGGTTGACGCGTGGAAGTATAAATATGAAAATCTTTATTACAAGATTTAACTCAGGAGCTTTCAAGGGGGGCAATACGGATTCTCGTTTGTACCACTGACTTCATATAAAATAATACACAGGAATTTTCTTTTAAGATTAGCGACTTTTGTTCAAATGATGATGATCAAGTTTCTATATAACCCGGAATGGAAACTCGTAATAAAAAAAAAAAAACTATTCACAGTTCTTTTAAGATAAAATGAGAAATTTATCGATCGTAAAATAAATATGTTTCTCTCTAAAAAATATTTAATTTGTTAAATGCATTCTTGGCAACAGTCCAATGTTTTTTCACATACCTATGTACATTACGTACGTCTTGTCAGTAGTACAGTATTATAAAAATGCGTCCGTATGTATGAGAATACGTATGCTCACTTTTCTCCCTATATGCTCAAATATATACACAATTAATAATATCAACAATTAAATAGGCTTTTTTATTTTCTAAGGATTAACAAATTATCTTTTAATAAATATTTATTAGTTTTTTATTTTTACAGCATAAATTAGGCTATCAGTATTCAAAATCAAAGAAAATAATCCATGATGCTTAAAAGAAACAAGAGATAGGTAAATATCGATAAGTTATCTGGTTGAGATTATAACTTATGTTGATAGAATACTATATATTTCACTATATCGAGTTAAAGTTTAATAATTTCATAATTCAAAATTCTTTAAATAATTGCATAGCTTCAAATAATTTTTATATGCAATAATATATATGCGTATTTAGATTAATATAAGTTAGCTATTTATATAAATGGTTTTCATCAAACAGTTTTTAACCTAAGGATTAGATCCGTTTAAAAAAATCTAACCTGGGTTATCTGCAAGTTAATTGTTAGTATATCCGGATAACAAGTAAGATAAGGAGATAATTCTTGCAAATAATATAATTAGTTTTTATAGATTGTATTTAGAGAAGTTGGCTGTATTGTATTTGATTGTTAGTTAACAGAATCTTTACCCAGTTATATAATAACCAAATAATCTAAGTATGATGAATCTAATTTAAGTGCAGTAGAAGTTTATTTTAATTAGCTAAAAGCAACAATCTTTTTTTATACAGTTAATTGTAATTTTTTAAAATACGTTACTTTTATTAGTAAAAATCATTATGCTATATAAATTTTTTTTTTTTTTTTTTGTAATATATATATATATATATATTGTGCGTGAAATTTGAATGGGCGTGAATTTGAAATTCAGACCGAAATTTGATTTTGAGATGCGTCAGATCAATTTATCTATTATGCGTATTAAAATCGATCGATTTTTGAACTGTGAAATAAGAATTTTTATGTATATACTGTACTCATCTTTGCTGTATAGGTCTTTATAATACTTTGATGTCTGTTATTTTTTGTTCGTTAAGTTTTGAGTATATAAAGAAGAAGTTATGAAGAATCAATCTAAATAAATATATAGAATATATTTTATATAACGATAAATTATGTTATTATGAAGTTACTAAAAGAGTTTGCCAGGGCGACACCCCCAAAATTCGCTAATGATCATTGTCACTGCTGCAACATCCAATCAATCAACAATCGATTAATTAATTAAATACTGCGGCAGCCAGTGTTGGCATACGTATGACCTAAATGACTAAGTGACAAAGTCACAGATCACATAGTCATGTAACTTATGTGACCTTATATGACCTGATGTGACCTAATGTGACGTAGACAAACTTTCTTCCAATTGGTCGGTCATATATATATACTTAAGAAGGTAACGTTTTGCAAGTAAAAAATGGTTGTCTCTGTTACGTCACTTAATCATTCATAATGTGACCATAGTGACTATATGCATAATGACCAAGGTCATTTAAGAAACAACAAGATGACCTAGTCATTTACCAACACTGGCGGTAGCTGCGATCGTGATGCCGAGGCCGCTCTGGCAAATTCTTACTAAAATAGCTACCGAAAATTTCACGTGTACCAAATGAATACTTCATAGTATTTAGCTTGCATAAATGGTATGTAAAGAAATTTTAAGCGAACCAATGTTTATTAATTTATTATTTTATTAAATGTGGCGGATGTTCTATAGAATAGGTGGGCAATATAAAAATAAACTCCGCTAATGATTAGTAATCATTAATAGATATTTAGCG